TGTAAGCACCATTAGCAGGAGTTAACGCTGTGATCAGAAAAACTGGGGACAAAAGTAGGTGTTGGCAAGGATGTGGAGAAACTGGAACCCTTGTATACGGTTGGTGGGAATGCAAAATGGTGCAGCTGCTCTGGAAATAAGTATTAAGGTTCCTCAAAAAGAGTAAAAACAGAATTACCACAGGATCCAGCAACCCCACTTCTGGGTATTCATCCAAAAGAACTGAAATCAGGATCTCAAATATTAGCACCCCTACGTTGACTGCAGCACCATTCACGATGGCCAAGATGTGAAAACAACCTAAATGTCCATTAACAGATGAACTGATAAAGAAAATTTGGTAGATACACACAATGGAATAGTATTCATCTTGAAAAAAGAGGGAATCCCTCAATATGCAATAACATGAATGCATCTTGAGGACATTATCCTAAGGGAAATAAGCCAGTCACAGCAAGACAAATACTGCCTGATTCCACTTACACCAGGTATCCAAAACAGTCCAATTCATAGCATCAAAGAGTGGAATGATGGTTGCCAGGGGCTGGTGCAGAAGGGGAGTTAGGGAATTGCTAACCAATGGGCATGAAGTTTCAGTCAAGCATGAATAAGCCTTTCAGATCTGCTGTACAACATTATACCTAGACTCAGCAATATATATTGTACACTTAATAATTTATTAAGAGGATAGATGTTAAGTATTCTTACCGCAGTAAAATAAAGTTAATTTTTTAAAAAAATATTTTAAAAACTGGGGGAAAAAAAAAACTTCACAGCTTGCTTCCACTGTGCCCAGCAAAGGGGTAAATGGGTGCTTTGCTCCTCCCTAAATGGCTGATGCTTAGAGACAAATGGTCTCCCTCTCCCCCTGAATATCGTCCCATCGCCACCATCTTCTCTCCTATGAGGTTTCTTGAACATAGACAATGGAAAAGTGGGTCTCATCTGGAGTCAGCTCCAGTGATGCTAACAGAAAATTCAGGGTAGGGAGCAGTTGGGGAGAAAAGAGATAAACATTTAGGACATCCTGGTAGCCCGACCCAAGGATTGCTTTCATATGTCTGTCTCCAGTCATCACCGCACCTCTAAAAGGGGGCTAATGATACTGTTAGGATTTAAAGCTATTAAGTAAATTAAAGCCAAGTGCTGGATTGCTGAGCTTTATATGGGACTGCTGAGTTTTAGATCAATGCGGCTGGGGGGGGGGGGAATAAAAACAGGAAAGGAAAGATTCTAAAGAGACCAACTAAAACAGTGAAGTGAGCCTATGGCACTTGACCTGGAGAATTCCTGAAGACTCTAGAACTTTCAGATGCAAAAAGCAGGGAATAATAAAAGAGCTGAGCAGACGGAGGCCAGAAGCCTTTGAATTTGAATGAAGTAGACCAGTCACTGTCAAAAGTCAATATTCAGAAATATCCCCTGAGAAGCTGTCAAAAAAATGCAGGTTCTAGGGTCTGCTCCCCATGGTTCTGATGGAGGGGGTCTGGTATGAGGCCCGGGAATCACATTTTAATAAGTGTCTAGGTTCTCTCTGTGCAAATGGCCCAGGTCCATGCTTTGACAAACACTGACAGCCTTCCCCACAAAGTCATATTCAGTTGCTCTGTTTGTGAGTAATGAACACTTTTCTTTGGCAAGACACTGAAAGGGAAGAAACAGAACTATAATCCTTAAGCTTGGTAAACTTTCAGGATAATTAATAGGGATTGGTTACTTGCTGGAAAATGAAGTATTCACGTACACACATGCCATGGATTGGGTAAAAAATAAATTATGTTCAGATGATTGAGTATTTCTCTGAGATGGAATAAATTCAATGGCTGAATGAAAGGAACAGGCAAACTATCTATCACCTGAAGTTAGCAGCTAAGATAACATTTCAACCACGCGTGGGGAAAGGGATACTTGGACCAGGAACATAATAGGACGACTACGTTTAGGAATATAAACCATTCAGGGTTAAAGGTAATCACATCTGAAAGATAGCTCCTACTACCCCCACATAAACCCAGAAAGAGGTGGTGGGGTACAAGGTGGCCTAATATCTTCATAAATAATTCGAAAGATGGAGGCCGGCTCACGCAAATCCCCACAGACAACACAAAAGTGGCAGGGATGGCGAATCTGTGAAGAATGGAATTCAACCACGGGGCAATGTCTTTAAATTTGCCTTTATCAAATCTTGTGTAATGAAGTCACATATTATTGTATCTCTTTATTGAGACTCAATAGGGCTAAATGTAGAGTGATTTATGGAAGAAGGACTAATCGGATGCATTAAGTAGAAAAGAGCACGCACCTGGAGAGGCATTAGCACAGGGGTCAGGACAGGCACTGCATGGGAAGTCGTGTGGCAATGGGGTGGCCGAGTACTTCTGTTCTCTACACATTAAGAGAACTGTATTAAGAGCCGATGTGTAAAATAAACAAGGAAATGTGTCTGTTACTCTCTGAGCCGCTTGGCCTTGGTGTTACTTCCAGGGGGAACCCTGAGCTTAAATGTAAATCTGGGAAGGAATTTAAAGCAGGCCATCACAGAGGTTATGGGATGTGACCCCAGATAAACCAAAAAGACAAGGGGATGTTAAAAGAGCCTCCAGAATAGACAAAATGCTCAGTGTGCCTCTTTGTTGGGAAAAGATGCACAAAAGATAAGGGAGCCTATAGGAGTAAAAAAAAAAAATGTAGCTCCTATTAAGGAAAAACAATCATTCAGAGCACAGTTGGAATCATGGAAGAAAGGGTAGCTGATCGTAACACCATCCCTGGGGACACTCAAGGAGGTGACCAGACACCTCTCTACTTAGGATGCATTAGAGATTATTAAAAGCATTCCTTGCTCAGTTCGGGGGTAGAGGGTGGGCCTCGTGACCTCTCTAAAGGTCATTCCTATCCCAAAGGATCACTTGTCTGAAGGGCACCAGATAAAAATAAAGTCTATTAATCACCAAGCTGCCACACAATTTCCTAAGAGGGCCAGAAGAGAGAAGGGCAATCTACAGTGGACGTTGGTCCGTTGAGGGAGGCAAAGGGAGGCAGCACCTGTGTGGGCAGAGCCAAGGAATCAGCTGCTGAGACTTCCAGAAAGCCAACGTCAGGCCTCCGTTTAGACCTCCCAAGCATCACAGGGTAAGCAGAAGGAGGAAGAGACTGTGGAGATGGGAACAGGAAACAGCGAATGACAACAGAGTCCCTAATCACAGCCACAGGAGCTGGAGGGGGAGGGGGGGGAGTAGGGGTGGGGACGAGCAGGATGCAAGCACCTCACCCAGAAAGAGGGGAGCCAGGCACGAGAGGGACACCCACAAGGTAGCTCTGCGGAGGTGACCTGTCAGGAGGCAGGTGGCAGACAAAGAGTGAAGAGAGAAACCGAGAGGTGGGTGAGGCAGGGCACACGGGGTGTGTCTGTGAATACAGGGGACTACTGGCTGAGAATCCACTGAAAGCCGAAAGAGATAGAGCAAAAAGTAACCCCGCCATCTACGGGAGCAGACAATCACATGACAAAAATAAAGCTTTGGAAGAGAGGAATCGAATGGCAATGCCCCAATCCCAGAGCAGCTGCTGGCATTCTTGAGAGCTGGGCTGCTCCAGCCAGACACAGCTGGGAAGCCTGCGCCACAAGGGTCGGAAGGACCCTTCCCACAGGGCTCACCTGCTCGGGCTTTTATGCAGCAGAACAAAACGGAGCCCCTTCTGGGAGGCAAGACCCAGGCCAAAGCAGACACCTCCTGATACTGTCATGAGACATCAGACCCCATGCCCTGCTCCCTCCTCATCCTGGACCAGAAACCACTTTGGGAGGGACATGTTACCTGCAGGAGTTGTCTCAGGAATGCCATCTGCACGGTGTATTAAGCAGCCAAATGGGGGTCATGGAGTTTGAGTTCTTCTAGCAAAATGTTCTCCAACCAGCTGTCACCCCACCGGGCACAGAACAACTTTTTGAAATCAAAAGAGGCCAGTGAAGAGGGAGGAAAAGGACACCACCCCCGAGGTGCTCCCTGAGCCCCCTCGCCCCCGTTCGCCCTCTGCTTCCACGGAGACGGCGGACACTGCAGGACGGCCTTGGAAGACCCACCGTGCCAGGGCCCTGCCTGAGCCACCTCGCAGCCCTTCCCCTGTGGCACCGCTCTGCATCCTCGGAGGGGAGAAGACAGGAGGGGAAGATGGTCAGAGAGTGTGGCTTCGAGGGCTCTCCTTGTTGTGGAAGGAGGGATGGGACCCCATCCGGTGAGAAGAAAAGTAGGGCAAGGATTTTAAACCCACCCCCCAGCGCGCTGGTGGGTGAAAAAGAGAACGGCTCTCGTGCTGACGGCCATCCCTCCGAAGGCTGAAGGTTTCTGGAGGCACACCCGCCGCCCCTGCTCCCGCTCTCCCTCAGCCCCAACCCAGCCCTGTCTGCGCCCCCTAAACCCAGGAGCTGGGCCGTCCTTGTCCAAGAGACACCTCTGAAGCAAGCAAGAAAGGCTGGAGATGGATCGAGGGCCATTTATTAAGCTAAGTCGTCGTCAGAGAAAGATTCATAACTCGCCCTACCTAGGACGGGAGAGGGAGAAGGAAATTAAAGGGAAACATGAAAAGCCAGAGGAGCCAAGTACCTTGGTGGAGGGCTTTGAGTTATGCTTTTGTTTGTAAGTCTCTGAAACAGAGAAAGAAAGAGGGTGAATCTTCAGGAGACCAAGAGAGTGAGAGAGAGAGAGAGAGAGAGGGAGAGAGCCAGAAGAAAGCCACCAAGGAGGCACTGCCAGAGAAAGGGGGCCGGCATCAAAGGCAGGAGGCCTCCCTGACTTGCTTGTCCCTCATGCACAAACACCTGGGCGGGCGGGTGGCAGCAGCGGGAGGTGGTGACTTTGCTGACAGGGCAGGCATGCGAGCTGGGGTGCAGGCCCAAGAGGAGGAGCCAGTGAGGCCGAGGCTGGGGGCGGACAGCCAGGGAAGCACAGGGAAGGGGGTGCTGGGGGCAGGGGCAGGAAGGCGGCATCTGCCGTACTTACTGTCACAGACGTAAGGTTTGTCATGGTCTTCCTGAGAGGCGGCGTCGTGCCTCCTCCTGCCACCTGCAGAGCCACGGGCCTGGGGAGACAAGGTGGGGGGGGCGGAACCAGGAGGCTTGTTATCGTAACGGTTACAACGGCTCCTGAGCACACACTCTGTGAGGCCCTGGGCATCACACCTACATCTCCTCATTCAATCTTCCTCACAACATTTGAACCAATACCGACCCCATTTTACAGGCCAGGAAACTTGAGGCCCAGAGAGGCCCAGGTAACTTGCCCCAGAACACTCAGCTAGTCACGCGTATCATCTCATTAAACGTTCACAACTCCAAGAGAGGTCCTACTATGACCTCCGTCTTACAGATCGGGAGGCCGAGGCAGCAGCCCGTTAAGTAGCTTGCCCAGGGTCACTCAGCTACCAAGTGCAGAGCCAGGCCGGAAACGACAGTCTGACTGCAAAGCCTACATCTGCCCGATCCCCCTACTCTACTGTTGCCACAAGGACCCCCTCCTCCAACCGCTTAGCCTTCTAGCTTCGTCGACCCCACATGGAGATGCCCACCCTGCTCCCCTCAGCTGACCGGATGATGGCAGATCGGGAGCAGAGGCTGTGTGCCCACAGTCATCACCCCAGGCGCACGCTGTCCCCTGCAAGTCTCTTAAGAGCCAGCCAGGCCTGGCATCTGGGCCTAGGGCGTGAGCCCGGGCATGGCGCGGAGCTCCCTCTGGCCTGCTCGGCCTACCCTGTGGGGGTGAGCTTCAGCTGAGGCCTCCCTGTGTGGTCTGCCTCAGGCCTCCAGCCAGTGACAGAGACCTTGACGCCTCACAGTCTCCTGGGGCTGGACTCCCGATACGACCACCCTGCGTGCACCTCCAGAAAGGGTCGGCGTACCCAGGGGTGGGGCTGGGCTGAGCTCTACCTCCAAAGATAGAGGAGAGCAGCCAAGAGGGTGCTGGCAACTCTGCAGCCCCAGGACGGTGGCTACAGAACGCGGCAAGGTTTATTTTTAAACCTTTGTAAGTCCCACATGGTCACGTGGGTAGCACCCTGGCCTCCTCCAGGTCATTCTCTGGTAATGAGTAGCAGTAAACGCCCAACCAGGGAAAGGGCCTGCTGGGGTCTTTGGGGACAGAGAAGGAGACGCAGCAGATGAGAAATAAAACATGGCGGCCACCTGGGGTGCGGGGGGGGGAAATGGGGCAGTCCCCTGGGCTGGGCCTGGACAAGTGGCCCTGGAGATTTCAGGGTCAAAAGGCCTGTGGCTGACACACACACACACACACACACACACACACACACAGGCACGCACACTCTCTCACTCACTGGGGATTTCACAACGGAAAGGCCTGTACCCCAGGCCTGTGATGTTCACACACTCTCAAAAAACACACACACTTCACAGTCAACACCACCTGCTAAGCTACCACCTCCACCATCGCCTCAGCTTGTCTCTCTCCAAAACAAATTACAGAATTCCACCCCCCTCCTTCCCTCCCTCCCACCGCTTTGCCTCTCTGCCTCCCCACCCCCCATCCGGGCACAAGGCCGGGCGACAGCCAGCAGCCCCCTCCCCTGGCCCTCATCACTCAGAGTTGACCTGAAGAGGGAGCTGTGAGGTGCTGCGGTCACCCCCAGGCACTGACAGGCCTCCTTGCCTGCCCAGGACGACGACACGGAGGCTGGTCACCCTCAGCTGCCCTCGCCGCCACCCCCCCCCCCCACGCCCCCACGGTGAAGCCAGGGACAGCTTGACGTGTGCAGCCTGCAGCCCTGTCACAGCCGCCTGGAGCAGGTGAAAGCAAGTGAAGCAGAATGACAAGCCAGCAGCAGACTCGGGGAAGGGGCTCTGAGAGACTAAAAATACCGCCTGGGAGAAGAGGAGGAGATAGGACAGTGCGCACTCCTGGGGGACGGCCAGCAGGAGGGGGAGGGGCCCCCTGAAAGCCAGGGTCGGGTTTCACTCTGCAGGGCTGACCAGCGAGGTCACTTCCACACTCTCCTTGCACCTTGGTTTCCTCAACTGCAAAATGGGCACGTGCAGGGAACTCTTCCTGTGGCAGCGTTACTCCTAGAGTCTCCTGGAATCGCCCAAACTTGGAAACTCAGAATCCTGCTGGTCTTTTTCAGGGGTCACGTCCTCAGAGAAGCCCTCCCTGACCAACCTATATCTACTCACACCCTACTCCATCGTTCTCCTCTCCCTGACCTGCTTTGTTTGGTCCCAGCACTTAGCACCGTCTGACATTATATTATTCCGTCTCCCCAACAAGAATATAGAAAACACATCTATGTGGGCCACGCTATACTCAGAACCTGGCACAGGGCCAGCCACTTAAGGCGCACTTAATAAACCTTTGCTGAATCAATCAGTCAGTCAGCGAGTCAATCATCTTCAGTCCTTCTCCTTCATTCTTTCTACCCAAGTGCTACGGTTTCTTCCCTCCAAGGCCATCTTGGGCTTTGCATTTCCCTTCTATTCCATATTTTAATCCAGGAGCTCATCAACGGACCCCTGAACTGCTCCAAGAATCCACCAGCTGGGGTCCTACCTCTGCACTGCCCTTCCCAATCCAAATGCATGACCCCCAGACCAGTTAGACAAAAGGAGTAAATGACAGAGCCCATAGTCATTTATTCATTCATTCATTGCCATCTAAAGACCACTGACACATCCAACAGCAACCTGGTGCTAAATCCATCAGGTTCACCTCATGCTCATGCTATGTCCTTGTCTTTGTTTTTATTGATCCCTGTCAGGGACCAGCCTCTGCTCTGCCACCCACACTGGTCCATGCTTTAGCCCCACTAACATCCACTCCTCTAAGAACCTTCCTCCTGCCAAATTGAGGAGTAAAAAGAGCATCAGCGTTAAAGTCAGACAGGCATAGGTTTAAACACCAGCCATGTGTCTTTAGACAAGTTACTTCTCCAAATTTTAATTTTCTCAACTGTAAAATGGGCACAGAAACACCTTTACTGCAGAGTTGCTGAGAGCGTTTGCGCCAAGAGCGTGTGAAACCACAGGGGATAGCGCCCCGTCCACAGGAAGTGCTCGATAAATTATTTCCCCTTCTTGCCCAAGCTGATCTCTTCTCTCTCCTCCGAACTTTTATTGCATTTCGTTAGTGCACAGGCAGAAGCCTGCTGTTTTCTAATTGTATCATGGCTATTAGTATTTTCTCCTCAATTTAATCCCGAGGTCCTTAAAAGCAAAGACGGCATTTCATACGTTATTATGAGCCCCCAACACTTAGATCTATGCTGGGCACACAGCATCCAAAGCTCTTGCACATGTATGAATTCAATTCATTCCTACAATACACCGTGAGTTACAGAGGGTAACATTATTCCCATTTGGCACTCGATGAAACCATCTCTAAAAGGGTTTATGATTCGTCCACAGTCACAGGGTCAGTAGAAGGAGCAGGACCTAGGTTTCCAGACTCTATTCTCTAAACTTTTAAAGCTGACTGTCCAAAAGAAACCAGTCCTCCCTCTCTGAGAACTGTCCACCCCATTCCACTCCTCATCCTTCAGGTAGTGGTAAGCCACGACAGCCATGATTGTACCACATAGCCCAGCCCCACTGGCCACAGTTGATTGGCTGGCTCAGGAGTCACATGACCTAAGCTGGGCCAATCAGATTCTACCTATAAAGGATTTGGCGCTGGGAAAATGACTCCAGTGGTGAGCACACACACTTGAACTGGCAACCCATCTATTCAGGAGCTAGGAAGCCACGCACACAGAGAAGCAGGAAATCGTCTTTTGGTAGAAAAATAAAGCAGCAGAGGCCACCCGCTGCCTGGGTTCCTTATTCTTTCCCAGTCCTAAGTCCCTGCCATTTTCTTGCCCTTCCTAAGGGTTGCATCTTCAAAGATTGCTCATATTTGCGGCAATGACCCAGCAGCTTTTCAAATACTCCACATTTTTTGCCGAAGCTGTTGCGTTTCTTGCAATTAAAAGACCCTCGACTAGCACACGCTCAGAGAGCTAGTTCCTCTATAAGAGTTGTTCTCAAGTGATGGTCCAGGGTTCCCTGGGATCTTTGAGACCCTTTCTGCTATCAAAACTATTTTCGTAACAGTACCAAATAGCACTAGAATGTTACTTGAAACTTTACACTCTCAATTCTCTCACAAGTGCACGGTGAGAGTTTTCCTGAGGCTACCTGACATGATAATGTCATCACTCCGTGTGCTGGTGTATTCTGAAGGTTAACATTTTTTTCTGCCTTAATTTCTAGTATGGTAAGTATCACTGGTTATAAACCACCAGAACAATAGCTTTGGGGGGCTCTCAGTAATTTTTCAGTAAAGAATTCCTGAGAAACGCCCCTGCAAAAACAAAACAAAACAAAACCAAAAACCCTGAGAACCACAGCTCCACATCCTTGCTGTTTAAAGTGTGGCCCTCAGACCAGCAGAGCTGGCATCACCTGGGAGCTTGTTAACCAGGCAAAATCTCAAAATCTCAGCCCTCCCCCCCACCCCCCAAACCACTGTGTTAGAATTTGCACTTTAACAAGATCACCATGTGCTTCGTATGCACATTACAGTTTGAGAAACATTGGACTGCACCACTGTGCATCAATACATGGTTACTGATTGATTGATTGATTGACTGATTGATAATACTCACATGGATGCCTTCCAGCAATTTCATGAATTTTAAAGAGCCTGGATTTCTTGGGCTAAAGTTACCATAGACACAGTCATTAATTGTTGGGCCTGAATTTCCCTCACCCCTCAGGGTATCTCCATTGTCAAAGCTCCAAGAGTTGTTCCTTTACACCCTCTGAACAATGTCTAGCCTTTATTAAGCACTCAGAATCGGCTGTGTATTATTACTCACATTTTAATTATGAAAAACTGAGGCCCAGAGTGCTTACATAATTTTATCAAGATGATGAGGTTAACATTACTTCACCCAATGTCTAGTAAATAAATGGTGGAGCTGGGATTTGAACTCCTGGTTCAAACAAGGCAGAGGCTGTCCTTATAATCACTACCTTACCCTTGGCTTCCTCAGTGGGCACACAGAGCACCTGGGGATCTTGTCAAAGTGCAGGCTCTAATTTGGTCCATCTAGGGTGGAGTCCAGGGTCTGGCATGTTTGACAAGCTCCCAGGTGATCCTGAGGCTACAGTCCAGGAACCACACATTGAGTGTGTGTATGGCCTTGCTGCCTGTCAGTCCTCACAACAGAAATGCTCTCTAGGAACCAGCAGCAGCTTGAATATGCCACTTAAAAGGGTAGTTTAACTGAGGCTGTGGGTGAGGCAGCTTCACACTTTTATTCCAGCATAGGCAGGTTCACCCACACTCTTCTGGGTCATCGCATGGCTTCCACCATGGGTGACAGGTGCACAGTGTCACTGCACAACATAGAGCCCTTCAGCGGCCCCGTGGCTAGCATCAAGTAGGCCTGGAGTTAGTCTAGGCCCCATCCAGTTCCCTTACTGTGTTCAAGCCTTCTCTCAACTCCCACAAAGTTGAAAAATAGCTTTTCTTTCTTTCTCATCATTCAGTCATTCATTCAACATGCTAGTCTTTGGCCATATTATGGGCACGGGGCCAGGCATGACTCAGTGGCAAAAGCACAGACCTGTGTTCGCATCCCGACTTTTTTTTAATTCATTTTTTAAAATCTTATTATTATTTTTTTTTAGAGAGAGAGTGTGTGCACAAGCAGGGGAGAGGGGTAGAGGGAGGGAGAGAGGGAGAGACAGAGAGACAGAGAGAGAATCTCAAGCAGGCTCCATGCTCAGTGAGGAGCCCAATGCAGGGCTTGATCCCACAACCCTAGGACCATGACCTGAGCTGAAATCAAGAGTCAGACACTCAACCAACCGAGCCACCCAGGCGCCTCCTGACTTCTTTTTTACTAGATTAGACGACCTTGAGCAAGTTACTTAATCTCTCTGAGAGTAATAATACCAATTTATGGGAACGAAAGAAGTGCTGGCCAATAGAAATATAACATGAGCCACACACGTCATTCAAATTTTCTAGTAACCACATTTTTCAAAAAGAGTAAAAAGAAAAACAGGTACAATTAATGTTACTAACATATTTTATTTAATCCACGATATCCAAACTATTATATTAATAGAAAAATATTCATGAGATGCTTTGCATTCTTTCCTACTAAATGTTCAAAATCTGGGGCATATTTGACATTTACAGCACATTTTACTTGGAACTGGCAGTATTCTAAGTTTTCATTGTAAAGAGCCTCATCACATGGCCCAGGGTCCAGAAAGTACACGGTGAGTACACAGTGACTGCTGCTGTCACTGCTGTGTTCTTACAGAGGAGACACCCAGCTCATATCCATGCACTTTTGAGTTCAACCATCTAGATTTAGCTTGGGAATAGAGAAAACATGAAGAGGACCACTCTCTACAATCTACTCAAGGAACTTTGGTTTGGGGTGAGGGAAGGGATAGAAGCAAGCCTGGAGGCACACAGCTCTTGGAGTTTGCAAAAGGCCCAGAAATCCTAAAGCTTCCTCCAATGACGGAATTGGGTATTCACTATTTTGTAGCCCCCAGTGAAGTCATGGGTCTAGGCAAGTTTACCCATGGCTGCTGAAGCAACCAGATGGAAACTTGATGGGGAATCTTTTAAGGAGAGATCAGGCTGACAATACCCAAATCCACTGATCCATTTTCCCCCGAGGGCAGAACAGCTGGACAACATGTACCTCCTCATGTAATGCAGTAAGAAGCACAGGGAAGATTCTTGCCCCACCAAAAAAAAACTTACACATACACAAACACCTTGAATCTAATCGGGTCTCTAATCAAACCACCAGTTTTCAGAAAATAAAGAGGATACATTAAATACCACCAATCTGCCAAACCTAGAATGTGGGAAATTCTACAAGACGAACCACCCAAGTTTTTCAACAAATAAATGATGTGGAGAAGAAAAAAATATGTATGTGTGTGGTGGGGTAGAGCAAGGAAGAGGTATGGAACAAAAGAGGCTTATGTTTCAAACAAACCAACTGTAAAAAGGCACTTTTGAGGAAATCATCAGGGACTAGATAGTAGATATTAGAGTAGTTGTTATTTGTACTGGGTATAATAATGATATTTGTTAGAGTTATACTCTGAGGTATGTGCAGGTTAAATGACAAAATGCCTATGACTTCCTTTCACATATTCTTCCAAAAATTAAATAAATATATAAACCAACAACAAATGGGAGTAAAGAACAAATAAAACAAGTTCATTACTGAAGCTGGCTGGCGACTATAAAAGGCGTGACGCATGACAGGGTTGCCCTGCCCAGCCTGAGAAATTCCAGCCCCATCAGCAAGTCAGAGCATCTGAGCTCAACGTGAGCAAAACTGGACTGCTTGCACCATTCACCTAGGAACTTGCTTATAATACAGCTTTCCAGGCCCTACCCTAGACGTCCTAAATCAGAACTTCTGGGAGTAGGGTCCTGGGAATGTGCATTGCAATAGGCGCCCCTGGTGATCTTGATGTATACTAAAGCACAAGAAGCACGGGAATAGAGAGGCTTGCCATAATTATCACGGGACCCAAACCCACAGGGCACCCAGGACTAGCCTCTTATCCATGGGAGGGGTAAGGATCCTGTCCAGAGACTGAAGGAGCCAGAAGACTAAAGACCCATTCTCTAGATGGAAAGAAAGCTTATCCTTGGAGGTCCCTTGTCACCTGGTTATTTTCAGATGCCCTTGCAGACCCCTGAGGATGACTACCAAAAGCCTACTGGGCTTGGATACGAGCACTCTGGAGAAGCAACCTGCATGTCTGAGAGCACCACTCAGGCTTGGGTCCCTCCCCTCAAGAACCACTCCCATAGGTTTATACCTTCCACCTTGGATTTTTCATCTGCCCATTTCCCAGGCTCCTGGCCTCCTCTTGCCACATCCCGGGCCCACACCAAAAGCCCATGCCCCACCCATTTGGAAACCATTCATGGCCCCCACGCTTTCCCAGCATGATTCTACTCTCCACCTAGTGAAATATACCCCAAAGCAGGTGTCCTGACCTTGTCACTCTGGGGCAGCCCCAGGGATAGGAAAATTCAGCCTTCTTTTAAGACCAAGTAATGGGTCCAAAAGTCACTTTCTCCTCATCCTCTACCCTTCTCCAGACCCCACCCCAACCCTCCCAGGACCCTCACTGTCCCCTCAGGTTACCTTCTCCCACTTCCTCTCCCTCCTGTAAGGGCTGAACTCTTACAGGCTATCACCAGGGGTCAGAGCTCTTCTGGCATTTTCTTCTCTGAGTATTCATCAAGGGAGGCCGTGTACATGAGCTTTGTCTGCTTGAAGTGGGACTCTGGGTCTGGGGACCAGTTGTGCTTCCACCCTCAGTCTCCCTTATCTCTTCCCTCCATCATGGCGTCTCCAGCTTACCCGTCCTCTGGTCCTATTCTTTCGCTTGGGAATATCCTCTTCTAAATCTTCTTCTTCATTTCCTTCTTCTACATTTTCATCATTTTCCAAAACCCTCTGAAAAGACAAGAAAATAAACAAAAGAGTTGAGAAATAAAATGCAAAGGAGAAAGCCATCCGGGGGTGATTGGGGGGGGGGGGGTGGGTGTCTGTTTTGTTGTTATGTTTTAACAAAACAAGACGCTGCCATTGCTTGGGAAGCAGGGCCTCCGAGATGCTGCCCAGAGTCTGAGCTCTTGGCGGTAACAACTCTCTCAAACCCTTGGGCCCCTTCCAGCCCAATCCTCCCAGAACACTGACTTTTTTCAACTATTTTTACCCAAGAAACATTTTCTAAAAAGAGAATACTCTGGTAGAGGCACTTGTCTATGTGGACCCAAGATGTTTTTCAAAAGTTAACTTTTTTAATGTAATTTTCCTTTGTTCCTAAATACGAAAATATGTTCCTTCTTTCTCTGCCATTCTGGAACCCTGCCCTGTTTGATGAAAACAAGTAACTTCCTGTTCATCTGACCAGAATTTGACATTAATGTGTTGTTCTTAATCGTCCATTGTTTTTTTTTTTTAAGAAAAATGGGTTTTCATTACAGCACATTACTTGTAACGAAAGCTTAAAGATCATGAATTTAATTATCACTCTCCAATAGCCCTGTGAGTCACATAGCAGCAGAGAATCCAATTCCATTTTACAGGTGAATAAACTGAGGCTAAAAGCAGTTTTGATTGCCCAAGGTCGTACAGTGAATCCAAGACCAAAGTCAAGTCAGGCTCATCAGCCCAGAGTTTTCTGTTCATTTCTCAGCCCTATGCCTGAAGATTGAGGTATATTATGTAGACCCTTCCTGTAGGGACATGAACACTTCATTCCCTTTGGGAGTGGTGAGGACAGGTAAGGTGTGTACTTCTAGATTTTGGGGAGAAATGAAAGACTGTGGCAGAGGACCCAGCTCCCCAAAGTGAAAGGGGGACGGAGCTCACTGGACTCCATGTCTGGGGCCCTAGGAGCTTCTTTATGGACTCACTGTGTGACTTTGGGTGAGTCATCATGTCTTCGTGCCTCAGTTTCCCCAATTATAAAATAGGAATTCATTTATTCATTCAATCAACAAACATGTGTCTAGTGCTGACTACATGGCTGTACTACATGCTAGACAAGCCACAGAATGACTACAGTCAGGCCTGGCTCTAAAAAGATTCCACAGTACAGTGAAGGGAAAACAGATTTAAATAAAAACCACAACCATATAGTTACTACTGCCATAAATGCAGTGATGGGCAGGTGCAAGCTGCTAGGAGAGGCTGTTAGAGGGAATTTTACCTAATCTGAGGGTCAGGAGAGGCTTACCTGAGGAAGTGACCTAAGAGAGTTGAGATGTAAAGGATGAGCAAAGACTAGCCTGGGGAATGGGGATGGAGGGCACAGTGGGAAGGAAAGTATTCTGGGCAGAGGGAACATCATGAGCAAACTCCCTGAGGGAGGAAGAGGAATTTGGCTTGTCCACGTTGCAGAAAGAGGCAAGTGTGACTAGAGCTCAGTGACTCAGGGACAGACTCGTATGAGATGAAGCTAGAAAAAAAGCAGGTACCATATTATACATGATAACAGCATCCATCCATGCTTGTGATGGCGTGATAATCACACAAGCTATGAAAAGGCTTACAAGCAGCACACACTGCACTGACATGTGGTCTCACCATCACTGTTCAGGTAGCCTCCTGGACAACACCTCTGGCCTGTCTTCCAAGCAGGAAGCCCAGGAGTGAGTTTCCAGGTACCTTCTCCCACTGCCTTCATGTTGGAGTTCTCTCCCAACCACAGGGGTTCACATAAGGTCTACATAATATACCTCAATTTACTAGATCAAAACAGATCTAGTAAATTCTCCGGCTTCTCTACTGGGCTTACTTGGGAAGCCATCAGCTGACAGCACATGGGGGTTCTCAAGGCCAACCACAGCCATCCAACAGAGAAGCAGCTCTGTCTGCTAGACACGACCGGTGGCCCATAGCTAGAAAACATCGGCCCAGGTCCCAAGCAAGCCTCCTAGGCTCTCTGCATCTTGGCTCCCTGAACCATCAGTGGGAACACAAGTGAAAGTCAAGCAGGACAATGACAAGTCAAATGCTCTGCAGACTTTAGTGAAAAGATGCAGTGTAAATATCAGGTGTTGTTGTTATGACTGTTGTTGCTGTTCAAACAGCTGTCCTGCCAACTTCCGGGTCTTGAAGTCATTTAATCATGGCGAGTTCCGAGTGCCTCATATTTAAAGGTCATTGCCTCTGGCATCTTGTACAATATGACTCCACTCTCATTTTTTATTATGAAGGGATTTATGACCTGCAATATGGACTCAGGGTTGGAAGATAAAACACTGGTTGAAGGCTGCTGAGTTAGTCTCCAGGAGTGCCGCCTGGCCTCGATGTCCGGAAGTAAAATGACTTCTCCCTCCCTCTTCCCATTGGTCTCTCTGTGTCTTGAGAACCCCTATGCTGTGCCCCAGGCTTCAGATGTGACAGCAGCCACCCCAGTGTGTTTGCATTTCCTGCAATGTGGCCCTGACACCCAGAAGCCTCTCTGCATAACTAGGGAGGAGCCAGGAGTCCCTAACAAACAAAGCTCGCATTCAGGGCTCAGGAAGCAGAGGGGGCGTCCTGTGCAGAGGAGTCGAGGGCCGGGATCCAACTTAGATGCAGCTGATCCCCCACTAACATACTTGCATTCTCTGTCCAAGGACATTATCTGGAAAATAAACACATTTTAAAATAACTTTTCTCCCTGTTACTCTAAACAGTCTTTACGGTGATGATAACAATGGTTTGTGGTTGTGTTTAAAAAAGAAGAAGGAATGCCTTTTAAAGACTCCATTATCTCTGGCCTGGAACACTGCAAAGCCTCCTAACCGATTTCTCTCCCCCCGACCGGCCCCGTGTCCAGTCTCCTTTCCAGGCAGTAGCCAGAGGGATCTTGAAGAAACACATATTCGCTCCCCTGGTTAAAATGGCTTCCTTTTTCACTCCCATGAAATCATGTCCTGAGAAGCCAGAGTGGTTTGACCCTGCCGGCCCCTCCTACTCCATTCTAGGCCCTTCCCCCCACCGGCACGGTCCTCTAAGCCACACAGGCCTTCTGTTGAATTTTTTTTTCCCGTTTTTCTTTTTATTTCTTGACCTACAGTATTACATCAGTTTCAGGTGAACAACATCATGATCTGACATTCTCTGGCAACCACCAATCTGATCTCTGTATCTATAAGTCTGGTTCGGTTTTGTTTGTTCTGTTTTTTAGATTCCACATATAAGGGAAATCGTGTGGTATTTGTCTTTCTCTGATTTATTTCACTTAGCATAATGTCCTCAAGGTCCATCCGTGTTGTCACAAATGGTAAGATTTCATTCTTTTTCAGAGCGGAGTAGTATTCCATTGTGTATATATACCACATCTTCTTTATCCATTCAGTTGGCCATCTCTATGTCTTCTTTGGCAAAATATCTGTTCAGGTCCTCTGACCATTTTGTAATTGAATTGTTTGGGGGTTTTGTTGTTGTTGTTGTTATTGAGTTCTATGAGTTCTGCATCTTCTGTCTGTTCTTTCAAAACTACAAGCTCAGACCCATCTCGAGGCCTTCACACACACCGTTCCTCTACCCAGAAAGCTCCTCCCCACAGCCTCACTTCACTTGCTCCTCCCCATCCCTTAGGACTGAGGTTAAATCTCTTATCTCCCATAGGACACTACCTAGAATCTGTCCCTCCTCTCATATTGAATCTTCAGACTCTGTTCTTTTCGTGGTCATTTATCCTGAAACGCAATTATTGCCTTTGTTTATGTGTTTTCTGTCTATATATCACACTAGAATATAAAGGTGAACAGATGGGACTGGTCTCTCTTGGCTTCTCTGTCTCCCCAGAACCTAGCACAGTGCCTGCTTAGAGGAGGCACTCGATAAACTTTGGTGGAATGAATGAATTTAAAAAATGGAACAAATACAGTCTATATACTACATATGTGCCTTATTTTACTAACCAAAGCCAGTAAGAACGTGTAAACTCATTTGGCTCATGGTCCTGGTTTTGGCTTCTAGCACAGTAAATGGCAGCCCACCTCTGCACATATCAGACATTCCATTTACGTAGGAGATGTTAGTGATGATGATAATTCCACAGTGATGACCCATATACTGGCCCAAGGCTGCCTGAGAAGAACCCGAACCAGCTTGAAAGGGTGAGACTACCTATCACTAGAGCATCAGGGCTTCTGGGCAATGGCTCTGTCCCTTCCACTGATTCTGTGAAATTAATGCTAGCTGCACAATACAGATGTGACAGACCTTAACTTCAAAGACCTAAAAGTCCAAAATCTGGGGGAAAGAGGGGAATACATGAATAGGGAAAAAAAACAAACAAGAAAGGACTAGGCACCCTAAATGTCAGTGACAAGAAGAGATCCCTCTGGCTGTGGGGCGATCAAGAAAGGCTTCATGAGGTAGGTGGTATTGGGGCTGAGCCTAACTGATGGGTGGAATTTGTACACATAGAGTAGAAGAAAAAATTCACCACATAAAGGATACAGCATGACCACAGGCACAGAGGGAAGAAGACTGAAAAAGAGAGGAGCTCAGGAGTGAGGGGAAATAAGCCTGAAAACTAGGTTAGGAGCAGAGAGAGGAGCCCCAAGAAGATCAGACGCATCATTTTGGACTGACCTAGTAGGAAACAAGTGTTTCAGCTAAGTTTTTTAAACAAGAGATTGGCACAAGCTGAGCTTTCTTTCGGCATGAAAGATCAGCTAGCAAAGTAGGACATGTTAGAGAGGGGAAGGACGGGGGATGGGGTGACTCCCAGGAATCTGTTCACTTGCACATCCGTTCAAGAGATTATTTATTGTGTACCTACTACGTGCTAGGCACCGTTTGCATGCTTCAGATATATTAGTGAACAAGACAGACAAAGAATCCCACCCTTGAGTTTACATTCTATTGGAAGAAAACAGAAAATACACAATGCATAACAAATCAGCAAATTACAAAGTATGTTAGATAGCGATCAAAGCTATGGGAAGAAAAAAAGAAGAAGCAAAAGAAAGCAGAGTAAGGGAATCGGGGGCGCTGGGGGGCAGGGAGGACACAGGATGTGGTAGCACACACAGTGATTGGGGTAAACTTCATAGAGAAGAGACAGGAGCACAAAGTGAAGAAGGGGAGGGTGAGGGCCCAGCTGAGGTCTGGGGAGAGGACTCTGCAGGCAGAGGAAATGGGCCGAGCAAAAACCCCGAGGCAAAAGAGTGCCTGGTGTGTTCTAGAAGGAGCAAAAAGACACCAGCGTGCCTGCAGCAGAGTGAGCAAGGAAAAGGCGAAGCAACCGAGTCGGAGAGGTAAGGGGCCTTGACTTTTTATTCTGGGACAACAGGAGCCTGTGCAAGTTTGCAGGCCCAGTAACAACAGGATCCAACTTAGGTATTAAAGGGTTCCCCCTCAGCCACTAGCAAGGGCGTCACTCAGAAAGCAATTGCAGGGGCACCCGGGTGGCTCGGTCGGTTGAGCGTCCAACTTGGGTTCAGGTCATGATCTCACGGGTCATGAGTTCAAGCCCTGCATCGGGCTCTGTGCTGACAGCTCAGAGCCTGGAGCCTGCTTCAGATTCTGTGTCTCCCTCTCTCTCTCTCTCTCTCTCTCTCTCTGCCCCTCCCTGCTCACACTCAAAAATAAATAAACATTAAAAAAATATTTTTAATAGAAAATAATTGGAGCCCTTCAGACCAGATATGACAGCAGCCGGAACCAGGGCAGTAGCAGAGGGACCTGTTAAGAAGAGTCTGTGCTCCTGGATTTGGGTTGTGGGCACAGCTCACAGGATTCCCAACGAACTGACCGTTGGGTGTGACAGACGACTCCAAGGGGCATTAGATGCATGGAGGTTACAGCTATTAAGGATTTTTACTAGGGCTGTAACTCTCAGGAGGAGAGGAGGCAGCCAATAGAAGCCACGTTGTGACATGGAGAAGACCTGACCATTCATCTGAACACGGGATGGCAGAGAAGGAGAGAAGGAGGCCAATTCACTGCTTCGTTCTACATCTTTATTGAGATTCGACTGCCGGGCACGTGCAAGTCCCCAAGGGGACAACGGTGAACACAACAGCATGCTCCCTGACTCAGTGGAACGCCCTGACTTGCTGGTACTTAGGAAGCAAACCAAAACTTTAACTGTTATTGCTTTAATTATAACTTCAATGAATTAATATGCAAATACTAAACATTAAATTAGATATACAATTAATAAATATGTAATATGATATATAATATGTGTCACATAAAATATAAAGTATAATAGAATATACATTTAATATAAATGTAATTTGATTTTAATAATTGAATTATGTGTCATTATCAATGCTATTGTTTAATATTTATATTAATTAATATTACTACAATATTCTGTGCCAACCGTTGTATTCAAGACCAGAGATTCAAGGCAGATAAATGAGAAATGGTGAGAGTGTACCATTAAAATCTTGAGTAGGAAGAGCCCCATAGTGCTGGGAACAGAGGGTGCTAAACAAACAGGGAGGGACAGGACCCACCAGCCCTGCCTGAAGGGTGACTCCTACACTGGCCTTGAAGGAGGAGAGGGTGCTGTGGACTAGAGCTGAGTACAGGGTGTGAGCAAGTGTCAGCAGAGGGCAAGGGCTCACTCAGAACAAGCTGGTGTAGACAACCCCTGAGGTTTCAAGACTGAACTATATGGACTGTTTGCTCCCCAGGGGCGAGGACTCCCTCTATCTGGTTCACCATCGTGTCCCCAGGACCCAGCACGGCACCTGGCACACAGCAAGCAAAAAATATATTTTGAGTAGACACGAAGGGAGAGGAATAATGACTTCTTCTGGGGGGTGGGGGACAGGTTAAATTAGAAAAGAATTTGCGAGTCTCCCAGCAGCAATGCCATGGGGCAGTTTAGGAGGAGGACCCCCAGCCGGTGCCAGGGTTCTGGAAGCATGATGGTGACGCTCTGGACACACTCTCCACAGCGGGCACGGAAATACCTGTATTTCCTGAATGCTCTCCTCTTCTCTGGCATCCACCTTCTTCTCAACACCCTCACCACGGAGCAAGGCTTCCAGTGTGGTGCTTTCTGAGGTGAAGCCATCCTTTTTCAGGGGCAGCTCCACTTCTGAAAAGTAAGGACAGAGAAGCAGGGTCAGGTCATTAGAAGCAGGAGGGACAGGAGGGACAGCGGGTGGCCCTGAGGGCACGCAGGAACCAGAAGCTCTGGGTAGGGCTAGAGACAGCCTGCGCTCTCTCTCCTGGGTGGAACAGGAACACCGGAGTTGGGTCCGGCTTTTTCATCTCCTGTTCACAGTCCCAGAGACAGATTCCAACCCTGCCGATACCCGCACAGACAGCAGAGGCAGCACAGAAATGGTTCCAGATGGACAGTGACTATGGGCAAGGTGCATCTAGAGAGTGAGGGCAACAATGCCCAGTACCCCACAGGGCTGTTTTGTGGGACATAAATATGTTGCTTTACCTTGAAGTGCTTTGAAAACTCTACAGCAATACACCAACATTAGCCTCGAGTCTTACCATTCTCTCCCTCTACCCCAAGTCTTGTCTGGCAACTCCATGACCTCCCCTCAGCCACCCTGCCTGCCCAGCTCCAGGTTGCTCCACGAGAAGCTACTCTGGGACGCCTGGGTGGCTCAGTCAGTTGAGCATCTGACTCTTGATTTCGGCTCAGGTCATGATCCCAGGGTCATGGGATTGAGCCCTGAGTCAGGCTCCACACTGACTTAGTGTAGATCCTGCTTAAGATTCTCTCTCTCTCTCTCTCTCTCTCTCTCTCTCCCTCCCTCCCTCCCTCCCTCTGCTTCTCTCCCCCACAGGTGCTCTCTCTAAAATAAAATTTTAAAATATTTTTTTTTAATTTTAAAAAAGAAGCTGTTTCAACCTCAGAGAGGCTGTTCTCATCAAGGGATACAAAGACCACTAAAGCCAAGGGAAAAGAAGGGGGAGCACAGATGCCTAACAGACCCCAGATCGATGGCTGGGGGCCGCAGTGCCTGCACACCAGGGCACTTTTTCTGAAGATGTCACAGTTTGATTGGCTACCTAGGGCTTGAGGTCACAGGGCCCGCTGAGCAGTGGCGGCCAGAGTCAGCCCTACGTGTGGAAGAGACCAAGAGAAGGAAGCTGAATTCCTTTCTCAAGACGTCCCCCAAACTCTTAACCCAAAGGAAGATTTTTGGTTTTGTTTCTGTTAAATTAAAAACCGAAACCTCAGGTATGGGTGATCATATTTTGATTTGCTACAAAACATTCATCCAATCTCCTCTAATTCTGTACCTCATACCCCCATGGCAATGAGAGGCTTGGCTCCTATCCTGTTATCAGGTAAGATGAATACAGGAATATGAGGGATGGGTGCCCGAGAAAACAGTCAGGGGGAACAAATGGCCTAGGTGTAGGGGGAATTGAGAGTTTAGTGTAGGAACTATTGACAGAGGTGTGGGCAGGAGCAAGGGAACAACATGGAAGGGTGAAGCATCCCAGTGGGGAGCCATTACCACTGCTCAGCCTTTGCAAGAATCTGGACAGATCGGTGACTCGCAGCCTCAGTGAGCTCATGGGCAAAAGAACCAAGTCCAACCTCTCTCTTTCATCCTTGTCTTCCTCCTCTGCCCTCCCATTGGCCAACCTCAATTAGACGCCAGAAGGCAAGGGAGCCTCAGTGATGTGGCATACCAAGGTCGGTTTCCCAGGATAAAGGAGGCTAAAGGTCAGTGCCCCAGGATGAAGAGTGGATCGGGGGGAGAAATGGAAATAACAGCACAATCAAGTCCTCCTCTGCTGGGCTTATTCGACTCAGATGGAACTCCACCCACCCCCTTCCATCTCCTCAGAACCAGATGTAGGCTGACCAGTCCACAAGAAAGAGGCGCTATGGTATCCCAGCAAAACGGAAGAAACCAACCCCCCGGGAGAAAATGGTGGGAAGAAGAAAGAGCATCTAGAGTTCCTGGAGAGATAAGATCTTTGGGATTTTTTTCTTACCAAAAAAAAAGGCAAGCAAAGGAGAAGTACTCCATCAAGAAGTACTACCACCAAATCAACCACCTCTGAAAGTCATCCATATCCCTGTTCATTCAACAAATATTTACAAAGAACCACGGTGTTACCACTAGGCCCGCGGGAGGTTTACCAAATGCAGACGGCCCTGGCTTTTGGGTGGTTCACAATCTAAGGAGACACTAAACACGGCATGCAAAATAAATACGCAATTACAAAGTGTCATAAGTGCAATAGGGGGAAACAACAGAGGGAAATGTGAAGGAAGAACACTGTGGGGGGGGGCGGTTTACTTTCGATCAGGGGGTCAGGGAAGGCCTACGTGAGGAAGTTATGTTAAAGTTGAACGTCAGAGAAACAGTCCACTGTCTGCTTTAATGAGTTCAGGGCGTGAAACTCCAGAGCCTACTCTTCCTCCCAAGTCAAAAAAAGGCTTCCAAGCGTCTGATACAAAACAATGAAAGCATGTTGCCCTATGTCCTGTCCTCACTGAAAAGAGAACAGCTGGTCACCATCCTTCGAATTTATCATAATTATATATATATATATATATATATATATATATTTGAAGTTCCTATTTTAGTATCCCCCTTAGCCTCCTCAGCACCAAACAAACCCTATTTCCAGAATTGCACAGCATTTTAGAGCTGAAAAAAAAGCCTTACAGATGATCTGCTTTAATCATCTCATTTTATAAACAAGTGACCTGAGGCTCAGAGAAGTTAAGTAACTTCACAGAAAGCCACACAGCAGAATACGAATGCAGCCGAAGGATCCTTCCTAGAGGCCACGGAGATCATGAAGAGAGCCCCACTTTACGTATCCTATTTAGCATTCTGCAGGCCCAGGATGAGCCTCAGTGGGCGTTGATATGTTTGTGTACATGCAGGGTGCTTGGCGCATAGTAAACATTCAAACTGTGGCAACTGTTATTGCTATGTATTGTTTAACCCCCACCCCCACCCAAGAGGTGAGCACAGTTACTATCCCATTTCACAGATGAGGACGCTGCAGCTTAGGGAGGTATAGAACCTGTTTAGTGTCACATAGTTATTAAGGGGCAAAGCCCAGCCTGGACCCCAATCTGCCTCCAGAATCCACTCACATACTCTCTAGCTTGTACAGACGTCACCTTGTCTCTCTTTGGTTCTTCCTCGAAGAGCCCTTTTCCAAACCTTTGTGCATTTCCACTACATCTCTAAAATCTCTCCATAGTTTTCATATTTCGAAATAAAAGGCAGATCGTTGCTGAAGGTGAGGGCAGGTCTGTGTCATGATTCTGGGCTCTGCTCTATATGAACATTCCCATGTAGCATTCACCCCTTCTGCAACAATACTGACCCCACACGGAACTTTCCATCCATTGTGAACTTCCTTCTCTTCCTCCTTCTCCTTCTCCCTCTTCCTCCCCTGCTAAATACTCCTCCATCCTATTTTTCCATAATTCAGTCTACTCTCTTGGTCCTCTGGTCATTTACCAGATGGGCACGGTAAAAGAACCAAGAGCAAAAAGAGAACCAAATTGGGAACAGTGAAATGGGCTCCCTAAATGCAAAGAGCCAGAAGGGACTTCCAATAGCCTTTAGCAGACAATCCCTCAGGAGGAAAGCGTAGCACAGAAATATAAAGAGCCCTTCCCAGGGTCACCGAGAAACCTAGTGGCATCATCCTTGCCTAATTACCAAATATTTGATTGGCACATAGAAGTTCTGCATTCAGGGGCGCCTGGGTGGCGCAGTCGGTTAAGCGTCCGACTTCAGCCAGGTCACGATCTCGCGGTCCGTGAGTTCGAGCCCCGCGTCAGGCTCTGGGCTGATGGCTCGGAGCCTGGAGCCTGTTTCCAATTCTGTGTCTCCCTCTCTCTCTGCCCCTCCCCCGTTCATGCTCTGTCTCTCTCTGTCCCCAAAATAAATAAACGTTGAAAAAAAAAATTTTTTTTAAATAAAAATAAAAATAAAAATAAAAATAAAAATAAAAATAAAAAAAAAAAGAAGTTCTGCATTCAGATGGCCCTGTCGTCAAGCTCCCGCCCTGCCTTGTATTAGCTGAGGGACCACAGGCTAATGACTCAGACCTCCGAGTCTCTGTTTCCTTATGTGTTAAATAAGGATGATCACAGTGCTTCATAGGGTTGGTGTGAAAATTAAACAAGGTAATACACTGCCTAAGGAAACTCTGAAAGAGCCACAAAAAACCCCGCGTGGAAACAGAGTGGAAAATGAGGCTTATCAATTCTTGTTTTGATTTTGGTTTTCCTATTCAAAACTTATCATTCCAAATTCGATCGTATATGTAAAGAACGTGGGATGGTCCAAGGGCCCTGTAAATGCTCCAAGTAACTATCATCAAAGTTAGAATAATCCTGATTTTAATGTCCAACAGAAACAAAATGCAAGCTATTTACAAAATTTTAGGCTTTCCAGCAGCCACATTTTAGAAAGCAAAAAGCAACAGGTGCAACTAATTTCAATATATTTTCTCTAACCCACTACATCCAAAACATTATCATTTCAGTGTGTAACAAATATAAAAAAAAATAATAATTCAATCTTCTGCACTCTTTGATTTGCGTTGAGTCTTCAAAGCCTGGTGTTAATTTTATACTTAACAGCACATCTCAATTCAGATTAGCCATATTTCAAGGGTTTCGTAGCTACGTGTGGTTAGTGGCTACCATATTCACGCAGGTTGATAGTTTATAGTATTAAAAGGAACATGGGCTATGATTTTGTTTCCCAAAAACATGGAAGGACATTAAGTATGGCTCTTAACGCGGCCTTCTTCATACCCAGCTGAGCACCATTCCAGGCCAGCGTTCTAGCTGACCACTGGCAAACCCCGGTTTCAAAGCACTCTGGGTAAGGCTTGCAAGGTCAGAATGACAGGCCAACCAGTGCCCTCCCAACAAACTGGCAGAGGGTACATTCCCTGGCTCCTGACCACAGGAGGTCCCAGAGTGAAGGGAAAAACAAGGTAACAGGTCCAAGCTCTTGTACAACGTACATCCTAGACATGCTCCCTATTGAGCCCTCAGGGAATTCATTGATTGTTTTATTCTAATACACTCCATCTAGAGATAGGACTTAGTAATTCTTTATTAGCATA